TCAAAACTGCAGGATATAAACAACTTGATTTGAACATGGTCTTCATCAGGGTCATCGGCAGAGGCTGAAATGAATCGGTGGAATAAAGTTGTTCATGTATGATTCTGCAGTTTTGCCCTGTGCTTACAGCATCTGCTAAGGGGTTTCCAACAGGGTCTGAGATATTCTGTCAGATGACTCTGACTCTAAATCTCTAAGATATCCAGCCAACTTCAAGAACAGGATTGGTAGTTTTAGCCACAGACTCTATTTGCAAGAGCAAGTAACGTCCTTACTGACAGAATCTACAATCATCTCTATGAACTATTGATAGAAACTAAATAACAATGTCAACAAAAAGGCTCTAATTGTTATGAAAAAGGAAAACTGGAAAGATGTTATAGTGCCGTATTTTCCGCACTATAAGGCTCACCTAAAAGCCTTGAATTTTCTCAAAAAACGACAGTGCAGATCAAGATTAAGTCGCAACTACAGGAAGCAGCTGCCGACTCCATTTTCTACCGTATAAGAAGTAGCACATGGTGCATGCTGGGATATATGACTGCGTGCATTTACATTTAATTTCATTTAAACAATTCTGGTGAACTGGGTTGGTCATATTGTGAATATGGAAATGAACTTATTGTTGTATTGTTATTGCTTTGCACTATTTCCAGAGTTCCTATATTGTGATTGCATGTTTGATTTACCGTAAAGTATCAGACTGTTTCTTTTCCGTGTTTACTGAATCAAGGAAGAGTTCCCCTCCACTACCTGATAAAAATGCTGCTCTACCTATTATACATGGTTGTTGTTAAAATATAAACTATCACGGAAATACTACGTCACTGACATTAGCTCGGGAAAAATAACAAAACGGCTGTTTATTCATTTTGAGTCGTCTGAACGCTGGTTTGTGTTCTATTAATAAAGTTTGACTGACTTATCTGACTGTTGTCTTTAGCGTAGCTGCATCTAGTGGATGCTAACGCAGCCCCAGCCTCTACAGGAGCTTCTACTCTATGAGCCTTATAATCTGGTGCGCCTTATAGTGCAGAAAATACTATAAATCTTCTGGCATAGCTCACTGTCAGGATGTACTGTCCTATCTATTGACAGGACCTACTAAGGTTTTCATAGATGAGATTTACGGATGTCTATTTTGACAAAAACTATGAACAGACTTTAATGTCATACATCCTGAACAGGATGGGGACATCTGGTTCTCTTTTAATAAGCCTATCTAAGGTGGTTTGGTTCTCTGGACAAATGCATTTTGGCTGCTGGAGGATTTAGTTTTGACCTGGCCGTTTGATGTTAGTGTCAAAATAAAGCATAAAAGGAGCTTTTTTTGTCTAAGCTTTGTCACCTCACACAACAGATGCTCACTTCAGTCAATCGGCATCAAAAACTCATCAAATG